GCTCCTCAGCCCTCGGTGCTCCCGGAAAAAGGGAGGGAGAAGCGGCCGGGAGCCTTTTTGGRCCGATGCCGAGCAGCTGCTCCGCGGCACGGACGGGTGACGAATTCAGCGGCTGATTCAGGGATTAATTAACGCAGCGTTTAATTAATTCAGCGGGCCTCGTTGGCCGCGCGCTGCCTTAACGAGGGCTGACGGGAAAGCGCCCCCGGAGCTTGCGGGGTCTCTCGGARGTGGCGGGGAACGAGCGGAGCGGGTGGAAAAGGAGCCGGGGGGCTTCGGGGAAATCCTGGCCCTGGACAGGAAATCGAGGCCCGAGTTCAAGCGGGGCCGCGGACACGAAGGGAGGGAGGGAGRGAGGAAGGAAYAAAATCAGGGAGAAATTCGGGATGGGAGAGACGCCAGTTGGCATTCCTGAGGGATGGCCGGATGGCCGCAGAGAGCGGGGTCACCGCGGGGAAACTGAGGCACGAAGGGGCCGGACAGCGCCACGTCCTCCACCTGGAGAGGGGCTGGTGCTGGATCTGCTCCTGGCCTGAATTCCGAAGATTTTGGTGAATTTCTGCCCCCGAAAAAACGAAGGCCTCGAAGAGCGGGAAGAAGAGGGAGCCCGGGGAGCGGCGTCGCTTCCCTCCACCGCCGAGGGAGCGGAGTTCAAAGGGATAAAATCCAACTCCTTCTCCCGGAGGGAACATCTCCGAGAGAGGCAGAAAAAAACAGGAAAGAACGAGCCGAGCTGGTGCTGGGGGCGGGTGGCAGCGCCTGCTTTCTCACGGGGACTCGCTCCCTGCTGCCTCCGTCCCAATCCCGCGGGATTCTCCTACGGAATGAACCCAGGGGATGTGGGGGCGACGTGGGAACGATGTGGGGGCGATGTGTCCCTRCTCCAGYGGGTTCYRGGTGCTCTRGAGCTCATTSCCGGTGTCCCCAGCCTCCCAAACCTCATCTCAATCCCGCGGGATTCTCCTAAGGAATGAACCCAGGGGATTTGGGGCGATGTGGGGGCGATGTGTCCTGGCTCCAGTGGGTTCTGGGTGCTCTGGAGCTCATTCCCGGTGTCCCMAACCTCCCAAACCTCAYCCCRATGGAGCAGCTGATCYCCCACCAGCCGCTTCCCGAGCTTTTCGGGACCGGGAGGAGCTTCTGAACCCACTCAGAGCCCTTTTCAGCCAATTCCTGAGCTTTTTGGGATGGGGAGGAGCATCTGAACCCCCTCGGGGCCTGTTTCAGCTGCTTCCTAAACATTTTGGGACCGGGAGGAGCCTCTGAACCCCCTCAGGGCCGATTCCAGCTGCTTCCTGAGCTTTTTGGGATCAGGAGGAGCCTCTGAACCCCCTCGAGGCCCGTTCCAGCCACTTCATGAGCTTTTTGGGATCGGGAGGAGCCTCTCAACCCCCTTGGGGCCCGTTCCAGCTGCTTCCCGAGATTTTGGGATGGGGAGGAGCCTCTGAACCCCTCGGAGCCCGTTCTCCCCCAGCTCCGGCATCCCTGAGCGCTGAGGTGTCCCCCTGCCYGGGCTGGGATGCGGAAATTCCCGGGATGGTTTCCATGGGGAACCCTGGTGGTGCCSGATCCCGTCCTAAACACCAAAATATTTTTTAAATCCGTGAAAAGACGGAAATGGAGAGGAGGAACGGCCTCCCCGAGCCGATTTGGCGCTCAGGGATCCCTGCGGGAGCACARGGAGCCCATCCGTGGCTTTAGGAGGATATTTGGGATGTTCTCAGAAACGCAGCGGGGAGGGGGAGGTTGGGAGAATGAGGATATTGGGGATTAAAACCCTGATTTTGGGGCAGGGTTGGTGCCGCGTGCCCAAAACCGCCCCRGCCAAGCCCCGTCCAGCCTCTCCCCTCCATCCTGTTGGGAAAATCCAACCCCAAAATCCAAAAAACTTCGAGAATAGGGAGTKTTTTCCTGCCTGGAAAGGCGCCGGAGCTGAGGGGGACGTGTGGAGTCTGGGCACGCGCTCAGGGCTCGCTAATTGGGGAAGGGGCTCYCGCTGCCGTGACCCCCGAGCCCCTCAGCCCTCCTTGATCCGCTCCGATCCCGGCGTTCGGGAGCCGCGGAGGAGGAGGAGGAGGGTGAGGATGAATTATTCATGCGCTCGGCGGCCCCGTGAACCCGGCCGGTAACGAGGAGGGGAGGCGGGGGCAGCACCGAGCGGAGCTGCCGTTGACATTCCCAGCTCCGCCGGGCTTTGTGTGCGCGTGTCCCCCCGCTCCTGCCACCCCAAAAACCCCACGGGGAAAGCGGATAAACCCCCGTTCATCYCCGCCCGCGGGGAGCGCAGGAGCGGCGCTGACGGCTCGCCGCTTGTGACTCTAATTGAGTGTAATCACCTCCTCCCAATTTCGCTAAAACCTTTCCCAAAGTCCCCCGGAATTCGGGAACATCGACAACGCGGCTCCTTTGGGGTTTTCGGCTGCTGTCAGCCCTGGGAAAGGCGCCGCGGATTTTTTTTTTTGGGTTGTTTTTTTTTTATTTATTTTTATTTTTTTTTTCCCCGAGCTAATCAGATCTCCTCGCAAGGTTGTCAGGCGCGGATCTGTCAGCTCTCATCAATAATGGAACAACCTGAGCCGCTCCTTTCCCCTCCAGCCGCCTCCTCCTGCATTATTCACCCGCCAGCGCCTCGAAAAAAGGGATTTAGGATGGGGGGGATGAGGGGGGGGTTTGATTGGGGTCTTTTGGGGTTACCTGGAGGGAGAGGATGGGGAGGGGGAGGGGGCAGGAGGTGAAAGTGGGTCCAGCACGGTTCCACCATTCTTCTGTGAGATGGAATCCCCTTTCTGGGATGGAATCCCCTCGTGTCCCTCGTTTTTGGGGGGAATTCGGGAAAACCAGGCAGCAGCTCTGCCCCARATGAGGAGAAACCCCAAAATCCCCTCGCTCATCCTCGGCCGTGTCGGTCCCAACCTTCCCAATCCATCCACGCCGGAATCCCGGAGAGAAGAGCTGAGCRTCCCGAATTGGGGTGGATTTGGGGTTCGGGCCCACCGAACTCAGCGTTCCCGTGCCGGGCGCTRCTTGGGGACATCCCGGCGCTGCCGAGGTGACACCGAGCGGTGGCCCCGCCGCTGGAACCGCTCCTCATTTCCGCCGTTCCGGGAATGCTCCTCCTCATCTCCGCGGTTCTGGGCTAAACCCGCCGCATTTGCATTTCAATGGAGCTGCGAGCGCCTGGAAAACGCTCGTTTTTCCAAGCGAGGAGGCCGAATGGGTCCTTAATAAATTAAGTTTAATTACCTCGGCATGAGGCCCCAGGAGCAGCTCTGATCCAGCCAGGAAGGCGAGGAGGATCCACGGGAGGGGCTCTCTCAGGGAAACCGAAGCAGGGAGAATTCCCCCCAAAAATGACGGTTTTTCCGGCAAAACGAAGATATTTTTTTTTTCCTCATCCACGGAGTGAAAGCGCAACTCCGGCGGGATGGGGACGCTCGGGATGGGACCGGTCCTCCAGCACATCCTGATCCACGCCCGAGCTTTTCCCAAATCAAACGATATTTTTATGGGTTTTTGTTTGGTTTTTTTTTTAATGGGAAGAAGCTCCGGAGCTGCCGCCGGTTCGTCCCGAGGCTGGGAAAGCAGCGCGACCGGCAACGGAGCGGGGATGGGCTGGAATCTGCTCAATAACGATAATTATCGCTGTAATAACGGCGCTCAGCGCTGGCGCGGGGCTTTGGAGGAGGCACCGCTCGGCCGCTGGAAAATCCTCCAGGATTGGGATTCCCAGAGGAAAAACCTTGGGAGCGCCGCATCTTTGGGGTCTTTTCCACCCCATATCCGCTYCCGAGGGATCCCAAAACGCTCCCAGGGGAAAGCAAACCAGGAAAACTCCAGGACTGGGTCAAAACCACCCGGATTCCGCCGGCGGGATGGGGGACGGCGGGGATGCGGCCCGTTCCCATGGCGACGGAGCGGGTGGCGGGGACGCGCTGGCCGCTCGTGCGTGAGCGGTGACATTTGGGGTCGGGTGGCGCCTGTCACTCGGCATTCCTCAGCCAGCCCGGGACCCCCGGCACCGCCAGCAAACCCAGTGATCCGCGAATTTCGGGCTCCCTGCGCCGCCTCGGCGGCCTCGGGACGGCTGCGGGGGACACATGCGGGTCCTGACCCCGGGGACACGAGGCCCGGAGCGTCTCGGGATGGTGGGGATGGGTCAGATGGGTTTTTCCAGGGAAAATCTGGTTCTTGAATCCTAAATTCATCCTGGTCTCCTTCACAGACCTTGCAAAGGGCTGATTCTATGCTGGGAACCCCGAGATTGAGCTGGGAACCCYGAGATGGAACTGAGAACCCTGAAATGGAGCTGAGAACCTCGAAATCGTGCTGAAATGGAGCTGGGAACGCCAAAATGGAGCTCGGAATCTCGAGATGGTGCTGGAAATCCTGAGATGGAACTGAGAACCCCGAAATGGTGCTTGAGTGGAGCTGGAAACCCTGAGATGGAGCTAGGAATCCCAAAATGGAGCTGGGAACCCCGAGATGGAGCTGGGAACCCCAAAATAGAACTGAGAACCCAAAATGGTGCTGAAATGGAGCTGGGAATCCTGAGTTGGGGCTGGGAGCCCCAAAATGGAGCTGGGAACCCCAAGATGGAGCTGGAAACCCCAAGATTGAGCTGGGAACCCCGAGATGGGGCTGGGAACCCTGAGATATTGCCAGGAATCCTATCCCAGGTAAAACATGCACTATGACCTTCTCCTGGTGGAGTTTTTCCTTTTTCCCTTTAATTCAATCGTCAGAGGAAGCCAAGACAGGAAAAGAGACCGAGAGTGTTGAGAGTATAGAAAAAAAAAGAGCGGGAGAGCCGACGCCGGAGCAGGAATGCCGGGAGGAGCTGGACGGAGGAGGAGGAGGCTGTGAAGCTTCACGTGAGCTCCAGGATCACTGTCAGGGTCAGCGCCAACGCCAATCTGAAGCCGCAGTGGCCGGGAAGCGAACCTGGAGAGGAGGGAGAACGGCATCGGGATGAGGTCACGGGGTCATGCGCCCATGCTGGGGGTCGGAATGGGGTGGGAGCATCGCTGGTTTGGGGGGTCTCCCAGTCTGAGCCTGCTCTGGGTGGGGTCGGGGTGAGGGATGGGTTTGCRGGGTCACTTTTGCTGTGAGGGTATCCCTGAGGACATGGGAAAGGGATTGGGATGGGGCAAG